CTAGCTATCATATAAACTTAATTTCTTCATGCGTTGTTTAGTTCAGTGTTTGTATATTGGTATCTGCTGTGGATTTGAGCTCATATTTTCTTTGTTAAATTTAGTTTAATAGCGAAGCAATGTGATGGGACAGCTATGTTGAGTTATTGAATTTCTTTTCCCAAGTCTCTTTCCCGTATCATTTGGCCCCCTTCATTGTGGCTACATATCTTTTGGTTGTTTAATAATAGCATGCATTGTCCTGTGTTCTTATTCTTTATTCTCTATTTCAAAAAATTTACGCCACCCTTGTGAATCTATATAGTTTCCAGTGTGTCAAGATACTCTGAGATTTTCGTATTGAGGTAGCAACTTGTGTTTCCGATTGATATGCTTCTTTCATTCTTTTCTTTTTCTGAGACATTGGTCCTGAATGCTGCCTAGGTTGTATTAAGTGCTTGAACTGAAACTCATTGTTCTTATGTTGTTGTCAGAGAAAAATCCAAACTTAGAGAAGATATTTTAGCCCGCAGACAAAAGAAACTTGGTCTTAGGCATGCCCGTAAAAATTTTTGGAAGAGGCAGCCTTACGGGAAGCAGAGCTTCTGCAAGAACTTGATAGGTCTCAGCTTTTTACAGTTTTGCGGTGGTTCTTTTATGCTGTTTTGATTGGTTGTGCTGATTGTTGATTAATGCCCAAACATTTATTAGGGAGAGAGCAGCAGAAATGGAAAAGGAGCTTGAAAGACAGCGATTGCTGGAACTACAGCGGGCAAAAACCAGGGACCTCCGTCACAATCTTGATATGGAGAAGGAGAGGCAAGTGCAGGTAGAGCTTCACGGTTTACCTGATCTAAACTAGAGCAATATAATCTCAGGCTTTCTGTTTCCATGGGGAGTCCTTCTCTCTACTACTGGATCATCATCAGTCACTTGATTGCCCAATACATCCAAAATTTTGTTAAAGTTGGCTGCCAGAGATAAGAAGACCTTAATTGTGTTAAAGTTCACAGCATGAACTAATGTCTATAATAAGAGGCCACTTATCTCCCACACTACGTATAGGATGCATAGGTGCTTAAAAGAGGAGACTTGTGATCAGAATGTGGGGCTTCAACAAAGTGAGAAAGTGGGCAGCACGATTAATGTTTAATGTTTATTTTATTTGACCAAAACAACATGGGTGTTTTATTTATTTAATTAATGTTTAATGGTTATTTTCTTAGTGTTATAAATAGGTACTATAGGAGTTATTTGGGGTATCCATAAGTTTTAGTTCATTCATTGTATTTGGGAGATTCTTCTAGTAGCCTAGTTGTAAATTAAATTCTTACTCATATCTTCCCCATGGAGTGTGCTCTATCATAAAACTCAGTTTCAATTCCTCCGTATGTCAGTAGGTAATCAGTTCCCTGAGTCTGAGTAAGTCTTTGATGCTCTCATCAGGGTTATGTTTGTGAAAATCCATTTATATCCAACTGGCATCTTCCCCTTATTGAGGTCTGTGAAGAAAAAAAGTAGGAATGATGTACTCATTTCTTGATGATTTATATGGAAGAAGCTACAACACACACAGATCCTACTGAATTAATGAAAGCATACATACTAAAAAGATACAACGTACATAAACGCAGAAGGTTGGCTAATGAAGAAAATGACAGATCTGATCAGAGCCAGTTCACTGGATGATGTGGTCTGTTTTTAATATTGACATGATTATTTTGGTTGAAACTTAAAGCTAGGACCAAAAGTACCACAGGGTGGTTAAATTTTCACCTAGCAAAGCATTAGGATTTTAAGGGCATTCTGATTTCAAGTCAATCTGCAGGAGGCTAAGCTAATTTTCAAAAGAAAAATATAAATTCTTTGCACTGAAGCTCAAGCTTATCAATGCAGAATTTTGTTGCATGGTTCTATTGATTCAAAGATTTTGGAGTAGTAGTAAATATAAAACCTTCTATTATTTGCAGAGAGAACTGCAGCGTGAATTAGAGCAAGCAGAATCAGGACAACGACCGTCTCGCCGTGACTATTCTTCAACCCATAGTAGGTAAGCTGTAAAATCAGTCATACCAATCATTTGTCGGAAGAATTGTTCTGCTTGATTTGTTATTATTTTTTTCTTGAAAGAAGATTTGTGGTACCTTTCTTCCACCTGATATGGGTCTCTGGACACCTTTGCTTGACGTTCCAATTTGCATCAATTGCAAACAAGATGATTCAAATGTGTTTGTTATTAGAATCACTCCTGGGCCCTTATAGAAGTTGAATTTTCTACTCTGATCCTCCAATATGGTGCTAAATTTGGTTGGTCAGATGATCTAGAATTTGAGATTTGTCTCTGCTGCTGCCTTCATTCTTGTGATTACTTTATCCAGATGGACTCTCCATTGTAATGATTGCGAGAGCCTTTGTTTGACCTCAGGCTAACTACATCTGTTTCAAAGTAATGGAACGCACTTTCAGGATTGATATTGAACCATTGTAATAATCCATTAAGTGTAGCTCCAATGGATTAAACTACAAACAGTGATTAAAATGGAAGGAAACGAGGAAAACATAAAATCACCTTTAGCATTCGAGAGGCTGGAGACTCCCACATGCAACTCAAGTTCTGCTTTGCTCAAACCCCTCCTAAAACCTGCCTACTCTAGATATACAACGAATAGGCCTTATCTCCCTTAGTCACACACCTCGCACACTTCACGTGATTTAACTTTGGCTCATTAAATAAGAATCCACTGGCCATGGGGGGCCCAACACAAGGTCAACTTTTTTTCCAGAAATCTTAAGTGTTGAGAATGAAGATTCTTAACCACATCGGGTCATTTTTAACTAGAATTCTCTGTCATCACATCTTATTGGGAGATGATACTTTTTTAACGGTTTTCCTGTGGGTTTCAATATATGGAGAGGGGATCACGTGGGGATTTATTAGTAACCGGAAGCTCTATTGCTTTTGTTCATTTAGATCTTTCCTTTTTTCATGGGATTGAAGCAAATCAACCATTCAATTTTTCTTTTGTAAGATTTTTGTAATAAATTGGTTTGTGTAATGGTATTCTCATTTTGCAGTCGAGCTCGGGAAAGATTCCGTGAAAGAGAAAATGGAAGATCTGGTAATGAAGGGAGCACCAGAGGTGGTGGTGGAAGTTTGCAGCCTGAAGTGCCTACCACCACTAGCTCATCCACGGCAGCCTCACCAACCATTGTTCTTTCTGGATCTCGGCAATTTTCAGGCCAGGTGCCCACCATCCTACAGTCACGCGATCGTCATGATGACAGCAGCAGCCTATATGACGAAAATCTTGATGGAAGCAAGGACTCAGGAGATACCGGCAGCATCGGGGATCCTGAATTGGTTTCTGCATTTGATGGCCAATCTAGCGGTTATGGATCCCAGAGACACAGTTCTAGGGGAAGCAAGTCTAGGCAAGCTGGAGAACGTAGAGAACGGGACAGCAGACGTGAAGGAAAGTGGGAAAGGAAGCATTCATAGCTTGGGAATAGAGAGTGACCAGCTAATACAATAAACATGAAGCGAAGATAAGTGGAAAGAAACATTCAAACCTGATTTCATTGTCTTGAGTTATTGGTCTCCTTCACGGCAGAACATCATCCAAAAGGTGAAGGACATGGTTTATCAAACCAGTTTCCTTCCCACTGGCTTTCGCTCTTTTGGGCTGATGTACCTACACGATTGCAGCCCCAGTTTCTTATTGACATGGGATTCTTTAGCTTGTTTGGTTTCCATGGTGATTTCCTCTAAGCTTGTTGGATGTTCGAATGATTCAATAGGATATGTTGATCACAATGTACTGTCTGTTAAACCTGTATGTACATTTGATTCTTTCATTACAAAAAGAGGCCACAACATATCTTGTTTGTAGAAATTCCTGTCGTTGTCTATCAAGAAAACAAATTACGAGGGTGACTACTAGGAACCATAATGCACTGATCAGTCGTTGTGCTTGTGCGTCACATATAATGAGCATGAAAGGTTGCGCTGTTGTACCTCGGCGTGAAAGCTTGGGAAATCATACATGGACTGGGGTCTTGTACCTTCTGAGCAAAGGGAAATTCTAAAATGTGAAACCCCAACTTCAATGGGTCTTTTCAGTGTGCTAATGATTCAATTCTAGTTCTAGTCCTATATATAAGATATAAATATGATTAAAATTTGGCTAAAAATATTAATTTTTTTTAGCTTTAAAAAAATACTTTTATTTATGGTGAGTGTTTAAAGAGAAAATGAGTAAGAAAGAGGATGAGTGATATGACATAAAATTAATTGAAGTAAACAATGGGAAAAATTGTTTAAAGTGTTGAGTACTTTATATATGAGAAGGAATTTGTTGCAGAGTCACTGACGGCTGAGGGGGAACCCTGCGTTTGTTTCCGGCAATTGATTTACATACGGCCTAGTGGGATCATATAGAAGTTCCAGACGTTAATTATCAATAGGTTATTTACAATATGACCTTTAACCCTACATTTGTTTGGTACAAGGAAATTGGAAGACCGAAGAAAAAATAGTAATAAACTTGATAAAGCTATAAAATTTTGATAAAGAGAATATACAACATAAAAGAATAAAACAAATTCATTAATTTTTTCCCCAAACAGTAAGTAATTGATTCCTCAAAACCAAAAAAATAGATTTGTCATCCAAGTTATAAATCAATATCTTTTGTAAATTAAAAATCTATTATAAGCTCATATTTTAGGGACGAGGCAAGTTGGACTGAGTAAATAAAAATAATAAGGAATAACATTACAAGAAACAATGCATAAATAATAATAACATTATAAGAAAACAATGCATAAATAATTTTATATACTGTCAATTCACAATTTTTTTTCTCATCCTCGGAGTCATCTCACGTATGCACCTAAAATTGGAGCATATAAGCAAATTGAATTACATTGAACTATTAAATAGCAAGCCTGTAATATATATCTGCACAGTTCTCGGAGTCATCTCACGTATGCACCTAAAAAGATGGTTGAAAGAGCAACCATTGGAGCATATAAGCAATTGAATTAGATTGAACTATTAAATAGCAAGCCTGTACTATATATCTACACAGTTTGTGTATGCGGCTGATAGGAAATATTAATAACAACATTCACACAAGAATTCAAAATACATATTACGTCAGCAACTGTTTTACTTCCACCTTTTCCAAGGCTTGCCAAATTTCCCTAACTTAAACTTGCCACCCTTCCAACGCTTGCCAAATTTACCGTGCTTAAACTTTCCATGATGAAACAAATGGTGACCATGATGTAACATGCCATGAGATAGCCGATGAGCACCATATGCAGCCGCTGCAGCCGCAGCTCCGCTGGCGAGCAATGCACCCATGCCATGGCCATGCACTGTATGTAAAAAAGTTAGTAAAAGTACCAGAGTGATTGAGGTTGTATCCTTTACCTCATTCAATTATATACTCAAAAATAAAGTGTCACAGTATGTCTCCATTTTACAACTCATCTATGTTCTCTTCATCTCATTTTGACTGCATGTTTGCATTTAATTTATGATGGTAGAAAATCTAGATTCCTCAAGTTTTAGCAATACTTTGCTCCAGATAGTTCTCTCAAACATAACACATGATGGGATATGAAAAAAGGATTTCTTTTCTCTTCCTTTTGAGGAGAGACTTAGAAGGGTATAATGGGAAAAAAAAAAAAAACAGAACACAAACTATATAATAATCTCCATGAAAGTTCAAGAGATGCAAGATAAGGACTACCATTGCCCCTACCGTTCACAAATAAACTGAGTTGTACATAAAAAATGCAATTTCATATCTATTTCTCCTTATTTCCATGACTTAAAGAAAGAATCTGAGAAGAGCCACAGAATCCCTTCTCGATCCAAAAACAGTTCTAGTAATGACCATGGAAATCCAAATAGCATTAAATTAATAGAACACATTGGGATAGTTAAGCATACTTGCAGGATATGGAGCTGGTGCACTTGGATAGCCATGTGGGGCAGGATAAGTGGCTGGATACCCGGAAGGAGGATAACTGCCAGGTGGATAACCATTTGGAGGAGGATAACCGGCAGGTGGATACCCACTTGAAAGCGGATAACTTGCAGGCGGATACCCACTGGAAGGAGGATAACTGACCGGTGGATATCCAGTTGGTGGGTAGGAAGGAGGGGGATAGCTGCCAGGAGGTGGACACCCTGCTGCTGGATAAGATCCTGGTGGAGGAGGATATGGGGCTGAAGTATAACCATGTAGATGTGAGAAGAGACCTTTATCCTTGTTGTCTTCACCACTCATTGCTTCAACTTAAAATTATAACCTGCAAAAGAATATTAGAACAATGACAATTTAACAAATTTTCAAACAATAAAACATCAGTTATAGCAGTTCATTCATAAGTCAGTGCCTATTATTATCTTGAAATTATCCACATGGTTCTTGAGCTAGAAAGAGAGGGAGGGGCACTCCCTGGGGGTGGGGGAATAAAGGAGAAATGATTTTGTAGCTGAACAGTTTATTCAGCACAACTCTTGAAAATTAAGCAAGAGAAGACCAAGAAATAAAGATGTGGCCAATTTCTTAAGAGTTTATGAGAGTAATCATCAAATATGCCCATTTTTATGAGCATAATATGAATGATGTTTTCAACGCTAGAAACTATCATCCCATCAACCACCCAGAATAGAATAACAATACATATATCATAATTTTACTGATCAAATTTCATAGACAAAAGAAATTTGATTTCACAAGGAAACACTGGGTAAATTCAAGAGGCAGCGTAAGACGCAAAAAAAAAAAAAAAAAAAAATCAGAGATTTGATCTTTCAATTTACAGTGTCAAAGAAGTAGTAGTAACATAGATAAATAAAAATGAAAAGTTGATACAATCATATTGGTATCAACAAATTCTATGCCTCCGAAGAGGTAAAAGTGATAGAATAATTTTATTTATTAAAAAACAGAGAATTTGTAGACGAGAAAGGAGTGACCAATGCAAAACAAAGGAAATGTATCTAACACAATCAAATTTTAAACATGAGGGACCGGCCGGGGGGGGGGGGGGACTCTTCAACTCCCAATAGCTCTCCAATACCTCTGAAGACCCACAAGGATTCAATAACAAATACATAGACTATATGACACCATTTTGTTCTGTCAACAAGGGACACCTCACCTATAAATACCCATCAGCTAAAACACACCTCACCTAGCTAAAACACAAAGGAAGACCATAAAAATAACCCTCTAAAGATGTTCATCACTTAGAAAGTAAACATTGGAGCATTAGGCGAAGTGGATAACTGACACAAGGAAAACATTCTGGAAAAGACGAATTTCCAATCTAATGATTCTGTCAAAACCAAAGAAGAGGATCGCATCCAACTCACAGACTAAAAGGCAGGGCATATTGAGAGACAAATGTCCTAGGGCTTGAATGATAGCAATCCCGAAATAAGTGTCCCAACCATTCTACTGACTAAACAGCATATTTGCTCCTAATCACCTAATGACGCAAAGGATTCGGCTCCAAAGGAAATCAAAAAATCCAATCGGGCGCTAAAGCAACGTTTAGACAACATAATACAATAATCCCAACCCTTCATCCTCCTTCAACATACTAAAGAAATGACTTCGTACAATTTCCGCAATTTGTCTGGATTTGCGATCCAGTGCATCTACCAATTCGTTATAGCTAAAGGCAGAAAGGGATCCCTAAACTAAGCACAAAGTTGACAGAAACTATATTTTTCTGCAGCACACCAAGAAAAAACCTAACAACAGAAATTTCGGTTATAAAGCATAACAAAACATATATACCACATAAGCAGTGATTAGCATTTTGTCCTGAATTGATTCTTCCATTAATTCAAGATGTCAGGTCCCAACTGATTCTAAACAGAACCAAATGAAGAAGGAAATATAACCCGTAGGTTCGTACTTCCCTTTTCTTCTTCCGAACCCCCGATATATCATTCCTGCTTCTCCAAAAAATGACACAAAAACCATAAAAACCCGTGTACTATTTAGCAAGATCTAGATAGAGAGTGCTTCATGCAATCTAAGAAAAGAAACAATCAGAATCTCAAGAAGTTATGATGCGATAAAAATTCCAATATACCCAGAAAGAATGATTGCTCCTCAAGCCAAAATGAAACCAGCAAGCATTGTCCCCACTTTCCCGACGAATTGACAAAGGGAATATAGAAAGAGCCAAATAAATAAGATTGCTTGACACTCGATAGCTTCATAGTAAGACCGTCATTTGAAACGATGTCGCTCTAGAAAAATTATTCCGATAAATTTTAAAGGGAAAATGACAGCAAAATACCATTTGAATTTCAAAAAGACAAATAAGGCATCTGAATAAGCAAAATGACAAATATGACATTAGGTATCAAACTAGAATTTGGATTTTTGGCCAAAAGACCAAATTGCCCTTATTATGTTTGAAAATTGAGGAGATGGAGAAAGGCAGAAACTGGCTCCACTCGGCGAAAACAACAACCCCACTCGACGAAACAGGAACTGCCTCCACTCGGCAAAAGCAACCCTCCCACTTAGTGAAACAGGAATTGGAACTACCTCCTCCACTTGGCAAAAGCAACCCCCTATTCGGCGAAACAGGAACTACCTCCTCCACTCGGCAAAAGCAACCCCCCCACTTCGCGAAACAGGAACTGCCTCCGCTACTTGACGAAAGCAACCCGCCAACCCGACAAAAGCAACCCGGCTAAACAGAAAGTGCCCCCACTCGGTGAAACCAAATCCAAGCTCCTTTAGTCACCAAAAAGGGTTCTCCAAAATCACATTGCTGTTGTCGCTTTTGAAACTAAACAGGTAGGAAACTTAAATATTGTTGTTCATAGAGCATTTTTGATGGGTCCCTGAAACTTAAAATGTAATTATGCAGTAATGCTCTTTGTGGTTCCGTCTTTGTTGTTCCCATATAAGTTGCTGTAGGACGAAAAAAATTGTTTCCATCTTACTGCTCATGTGTTTGGTTATGTACACATTTGGAAATAATTGTGATTGATAGTGTTTAATCCATATTAGGTGGCCTTTAATTAGAACAGATGATTGCTTTTGTTGTGGTGATTGTTTTATTTTGATTTGAAGGAAAAGAACAAAATGGAAAGGATAGTTTTATCGGTGTTATTTGTAACATCCTAATTTTCATATATCTAATATTTAAACAAATTTTTATAGAATAAATAGAGGTTAAATATACATATATATAATTAAAATAATTCTGATTTTTATGTGTGTATGTGTATGAGAAAATGAATAAAATAGTGATGTTAAGAAGTCCCACATTGATTAAATAATAGGAAGATGGATAAAATAGCAATGTTAAGAAGTCCCACATCGACTAAATGATGGGAAGAGGAAGCTCTAGGAGCCTATATATAGGTGGTAGTAGGGGAGAGTTAAAGATGAACCAAATAATTTTCGCACAAAACTGAGACAGTTTCAGTAAAGTGCTGTTTATGGATTTGTAAACCGTTGGATCGGGCTGCAATTTGGTCAGCTGATCCTAAACTTCAAACTCGTTAGTTTCAATAGTTGGATCGTCAATTCAATATCTGAGTTACAAGTTATTAGGTACGTTTTTCATTTATTTTTTAGATTTGGTAGATAGAATACTAGATAGTAAGTTAGTGTTTTTAAATTTGTTCACCGTTGGATTAACTCGAAATTTAGAGAGTAGTCTTGTGACATGTAAGACATTAAATTCAACGGTTGGATTAATAATTAGACTTCTACAGTAAGAATAAATTAACTCATATTGAGGTTATCCATCTAAATTGTTTGAAGATAGAACATAAGTTATAAATTGAGGGTTCTCTATCTAGGTTGTGAATTTGGTGCTTCAAATGATATGATTTAATAATTAAAGATAACATAAGTTAAGGGAGCCTAGGAATTGAATATAAATTATCATATATGTGTTCTTACCCAAACCTTAGAAAAAGCCTTTCAAGCTAGAATTTCGAGTAACAGCTAAATGTATTAGAGGGAGTGTTAAATGTTAGAAATTTGTGAGTAGTTTACTTTAATACCGTAGAAATAATATTTTAATTTCAATTGTAGATATAAACCCTATTGTGGCATTTTCGAGTATAGGCCTCGTTTCTACTTGATTGTTAGCTAGGAGACCAGGTAACTAAATTTCTATCTGTTACATGCATTGGTATGAGGTTGGTGAGTAATTTTATAATCAAGTTTCGTATACATATATTATGTTTTGTATGAACTATCTTGTGGGATACTGTTTTGAAAAAGATTGAAATCGTTTGTATTGTTAGAAATTAATGATTATGACTATGAGGTGTTATTCTGGAATTCGGTTGATTAAGCATATAAGTGTGTTATTTTGAACCCTGTGCATCTAGTTTGGGTGGGAGAAGGAGATGATTGAAGCTATTGAGATTTATATACTTACCACGTGGTATCGGCCTCCATACAGAGTGTAACATTCAAACTTTTGAGCCTAGAAGTACTAGAAATAGCCTGAATTGGATAGGCTACTAGACCCCTTTTGAGTAAAAGTCCTAAAGATGAGAAAGGAAGTCAAAGCAGTTTCAGAGACTGAAACTGCAAAGTAAAAGTTTTTGGGGCTCAAGTATAATCAAGTTAGAGGCTCCAGTAAAGTCTCGAAGGCCCGAAAAAAGAAAAGAGACTAGTTACAGGCCAAGGGTTAAGCTAGAAACCTCAAAGAGAGGATTGTATGAAGTTAAGTCCAAGCAGGGACTAAAGCGTAAATTCTGAAAGTTATGATCAGCAGGGGTAAAAATGGAAGAGTATACAAAGAATTCCAAGAAAATTCTAGAAAATAGGAAATAATATTCTAAGGCTCTTCTGTGAAGAGAAAAGATGAAAATACCCCTGAGGCAGCTTAAATAGAATTTATGAGGTTATGGCTGGTAAAAAGTATACCATTTGAGGTAATTATTTAAAATAGCAAGAGACCTAAAAAATGTATACAAAAATGAGGTTAAATGGTTGAAAGGTTATACTAATTTATAAAAATTAGTCCCGCAACCAAAAGGCCAGTGGAGTGGCTTTAATAAATTAAAGAGCCGGTTTTGCCGATAAAAGGGCATTTTGATAAATGAATTTTTATGCAAGGTTTAAAAGAAGTGTTATGGCCTAAGAAAATTCATAGATATTCTCTAGAATTAAAGGGAATTTATAGAGTAGACAGAAGAATTTTCTGAGCTTCGGAAGGCCATAAAGAAAGCCGGAGAAACGTGGACCAAGTAAATTCGGAGGAATTAAGTTTGATCCAACGGCTAGGATCTAATCTCCCATCTCCTCCACCACTTTCATGACACTTGGCATCTTTTAGAAGGATGAGGTAAGGATGATGCAAGAAGATGATGCAATGATGATGTAAAAGTCAACTTGAAGTTCCAAAATTGCCCTTACCCTTTCTATTAGCCACCAAGGGTATTTTGGTCCATTCAAGCTAAATTTTTGGCTATAAATAGGCACTCCCTCCCCTTCATATTTTAGCCAAGCAAGGATCTATAGGGGAAACTCTGCCGCTCTTGCATTTAGAGAGAGAAAGAGCTATTTCTAGTGAAAGAAAGTCCATCTAAGTTCAAGCTTCAAGATCAAGGTATGTGGTGGTTATAACATCTGATTTGATGCCTGTTTCGAATTAGTTACTGTTCATATCTGATTCTAAAATTTTTCATGCTTAAATTACACTCTGTGAGCTTTAAATCCATGGGTAGAACACTTTATTTGGATGTGTGTACGATTTATGGTGATTTTTCAAAGTTAGGGTTTGAAATCTGGAAACAGTGTTGAACTTTTGGAAGAGTGTCAAGTTCCGTACAATTCTGGTAGTGTTTTGCATAGAATTGGTTCCTGAAACTATTTTTCCTTTAACTTTAACTTAAGGACCTTTCAGTGAGACTTGGAACCACTTAGTTTTGATTTTTCTAGAATTAATTATGAATTTTCAAAGTTGAGCAAAAATTCTGGAGCTTCTGCGTGAACAGTACCCGCGAAGCACAATTTCCAGATTTGATATTCTTGAATCTAAAGCCATCTAAAGTGGTCCTAATTGACAAGAAATAGATCTTAAGGATGGTAAATGATGAGATTTAGGTTAGAAAAGCTAGAAAGGAAACCCTAAGACTAAGAGAAAGGGTTGAGGTTCAAGAGAGCTAGTCTTAAACTTTATGTAATCTAGTGGTCCTAATGGATTGTATGATCAATGTGACTATGTTTAGGACCTTTAGAACATCCAAGAGGATGTTTGGTGATGTTGACCGAATGCCACATGGTTGGAAAGTCAAGGGAGTCAAAGGAAAAGTAAGAGGAAAGCTTAAGGTGCAAGGTAGTGAACTTACCTATTATCATTACTTGATGTTGTATGCTTGTGTGTTGCCGTGTACATGTTATTGAATGTTATTGTGATATGTTTTAGCTGCTGTAATTGCTATTCATGATGAGTAGATTATGTCTCCATGGCCATGCATCAAGAAGTTAGCTTTGAGCATGCTAATATGTCACTAATTAACAAGAGAATAAACAAGTTACGTGTAGTGCATTAGCATCCATCTAGCATGATTAATATGGTATTGTTTGCTACTGAGATTCCCCCGAATCTCACCTCTCCCTAATCAACCATTTAGGTCAATCATCAATGGGCAATAATGGCATGAGAAGCAAGGAGAAGAAAGTGGAGAATTGTTGATGTTAATGAATGATATTATCATTCAATATGTAATTCTCCTATTATGTAATTATTGTTATGGATGTCAATGATGCCATGTATTTAATTATAATGCTTATGGCATGTATAGAAATGTATGAGCATGAATGGGAAAGAGTAATCCCATGTTATGTATGCCAAAGAAATAAAAAGAATTAAAGTAAAGAGATGTTAAGGGATAAAACGTAGGTCCTGAAGCAGTGAGTTTGTAACTCCAGTTTGACCTATGAAACGAATGAGTTAAGTCACGAGATTTGACAGACTCATAGTACACATCCCAAGCTTTAAAATTAGAGGTATATCACCTCAATTGGATGTGTACACAAGGAAATACAAATTTCCAAAGTTAAG